CCTCCATCTTAAGGTCCGCCATGATGGCTGGGGAATTCTGGGAGTGGCAGTCCATCCATCTTAAGATCCGCCATGATGGCTGGGGAATTCTGGGAAATTCCTAACCCTAACCCCTGACCCCCCCCCTGACCCTGGTGGGTTTCTCTCCCCCCCCCCAGCATCCAGCCCCTCCCCATGGACAGCAGCGCCTTCGCCTTCACCTCCTTTGGCGGCGTCCCGGCGGTGGAGTTCTCTTTCGTAGAGGTGAGAGGGCCCCCTCCCCACGCCCTCACCCCCTCCCTGCAAGGACTGAAATGCAGGAAGTCCCTCCTCCCCCATCTCTAGGGTCCGCTGGGGATTCTGGGAGTTGGGAGTCCCGCCATCTCAACCCTCCCCCCCCCATTCCACTACTTCGGGGAACTGGACCCCGCCAGCCCCCTCCCCGTCGTCGGCAGAGGCAGGGTCCGCAGCCCGTCCCTCTTCTCCAGCCCATCACCGTGTGTGTGTGTGTGTCCCCCCTTTCCCCCCCGGCAGGACTCGCGCCCGTACCCCTTCCTCAACACCATGCTGGACACCTACGACCACCTGAACCGGGCGCTGCAGGGCCGCCTGCCGGCCGTGGCCAAGACGGTGGCCGAAGTGGTCGGCCACCTCCTCCTCAAGCTGACCCACGACCACCTCCTGCCCCTGGACTACTGGTGCTACGGCGACGTCCTCCTGGCGCAGATTGCCCGCTTCAACCACTTCAACGCCCAGCTGAAGGTGGGAGCCCCTCCCCGCCTTCCCCGCCCCCCCCTCCCGCCGTCCTGGGACTTTAGCCCGTTTGCACCGGTTCAGGCCAACCGGTTGGTGCCACGGGACGCCGGGGTTCCCCGCGGAAAAACGGTCGTTGCAAGGACGGCGAAGCTTTCGGGTTGCGGTGTCGGCATGCACAATACAAGGCGGCCTTCCCTGCCGTGCGTACGAGCACAACACCCCCTCCCCACCCACCTCACTCTGCACGGTGCATGCGCACGGCTCCCAGCCGGGGTTTTTGGGGCCCGTTGACGATGGCCATTTGTCGCCCTCCCGAAGACTCGAGGGAAGCCTCTCTATCCTCGGCAGGGCCATTTTTTGGCCTCCCAAGGTTCCTCTTGTCTCCGGGAAGGCCAAAAATGCCTTCAGCCGGCCGAAAAATCCCCTGGGAGGCAGAAATCCCCGTCTCCTGGGGATTGGTCATCCAGCCCACTAAGGCGGGACTAGAACTCGCGGTCACCTAGTGATTAGCCCAAAGTCACTCAGCCGGCTTTTGTGCCTAAGGCGGGACTAGAACTCACTGTCGCCTAGTGATTGGCCCAAAGTCACCCAGGTGGCTTTCATGCCTAAGGCGGGACTAGAACTCACGGTCGCCTAGTGATTGGCCCAAAGTCACC